TTCAAAGTAATAAGTCTTCCAAAAGCACTTCTCTTTCCACAACAACTCTTGGTTCATAACAGATCAACTGTTAATGCAAAGGTGCTTCAATGGTTACCATTGGGACAAGATTTGTGAAAAGACACTAATGAAGATCCATTCATTGAAATGAAATTTATTATAACCTGACTGTATGCAGATTCAATATATGTCTCAACATAAAAACTAAACCAAATTCCAATAGGATTATCTGTTGCAACATCCAATCCCATTGAAACTAGCTTTCGGAAAAAAAAAAAAAAAAGTTGGCTTCTGAAGAGGGAATATAACAAAAAGAAAATGATTAGTTAAGTACTAAAACTAAAAAAAACACAATCAGACAAAAAGAAAAAGGAAATGACCTCACTGAAATGCAGGTGAGAATCTTACAGCTTGCATTATTTCTCTGCACACAACATAATGCTTCTATTTAGTACTTTTATAAATAATTGAATGAACTTTGTCTTTATTTTTTATAGGCACTGTTTAGGATAATTAATGGGCCCATGGACCCATGGAATGTATGGGATCTTTTCTTCATTGGTATCATTTAGATTTATAAATTGTAGCTTGTTCTTTAGGAATTATTTCAAATCTCTAGGATAGATGGTTCCAGTTATAGTGTTTCATCAAGATTCCAAGAGGGTCAATTGCTAAATCTTGATGCATTGGATCATCTTTTCCAAATGCAAGAAGTGCATGAGGGGCACTGAAATTCAGTTTAAAAGAAATAATTGACATAATAAAGCTTTTACTTTTATAAAAGTTATGGCATAAAAATACACAACATACCTTCCTGGAACTGAATTGAAGTCACCACAGACTAACATTGGAATATCTGCACTTGCAACTATCTTTTCCAATCCTTTTAACAGTTGTGAACCTTCAATCTTCACAATTATATAGTTTTTAAGTTTTTAAACAAGAAGAAAAAGTGTATATATATACAAACAATAGGAGATACTTATCTTCTTTGGTGTCATTTCTCTTCGACAAAATCTACACTAAAAGAAATGTGCCCATGTATGTTAATGTCAAAATTCCTAAGAGGGCAAAATGGTCATAATAATTCAGCACAATCCTAAAGAGTATTTTTTTTCCGAGTGGAAAGTGAATAGATAGATGAAGTGTCACACCTGAACCAGTTCACTAACAAAACAAGAAGACATGGTCTTAGTAAATCCAATCCAACACGTAAGACCTAAGCAAAGAGGCTCCCCCAAGTCTAACTAACTGCGGTCCATCAATGCAAAAATTATGGCTTGAGCAACATCCTCATTGTAGGAACCCACATACACCAAACCCAATGCAATTGCTATGAACAAGATAACATCAAACCCTGCTTTCGGTTCACCAAGAATTGGACTCAGTTTGTCATGGATCTGAAAACGAAAAAACACAACTATCAGCAATGTTTGTGCGTGTGTGTGAATTGTCAACAATAAGGAGAACCTACCTGTTAATTCTGGGTACCCGCATATGCAAGGCCCAGACCAGTTATGGCTCCAATTCTAATGGAAGCATTTTCTTTATCCAGATAATCAACAAAAATTGCCGAAGCCTGAAACAACCCAACCCAAAATAAAATCACAACCAACAACCAACAACAACATGTCAGAAAGAAAAAAGAAAATTAAGCACTCACAGGGTCACAATCATTCTTGATACCACAGTTTACAACCCCAACTCCTAACAATGCACCAGCAATCACATGATTATCATTGCTATGAAAGTACTTGTCAATTTGAGCAAGCCCAACATCAACATCCCAAAGGAGGATCATTCCCTAAAATCACATCACAACCAACCAATTTCCTTTCTTCATACAACAACATTCAACTTTAATCATTTATATCAATAACAAATCGCTACAAATGAGCAGTTTTTCAAAGAAGAGCTAAATGCAACTTCCAATTATGATATTATAGTTTGAAAAACCAACCCAATCACAACAATGAAACTTGGGTAGATTTCCTGTTTATGTAAACCATAGACAGAATTTCAAACACATGATGATATATGGAATAGAAATCCAAACAATTTCCAATATCAATATTTTATTCAACACTTTATCAAAATTAATACATACAATGTAGATGAACCTTAAGAATAGCTTTCCCATTCTATTTAATTGCTTTTTCTACACCCTGAAAAAGACATACCAAAAAAAAAGCAAACTATACCCTTGTTAAACTATAACATAACGTTAGGTGCTTGAGGAATAAGCAAAACCACTGAAACAATTTGTAAGAGAATTAAGACAAAATAAACATGATTTTACCCTAATGTGGCCCACTCGATTGCGGTCAAAAAACCTGAAAGCCTGTCATGAACAGGAGATATTTTTTTAAATTTAACAAAAGAATTTATAAAAATTCACAAGAATTACACATTTTAAAGATGAAATACCTGCAAGAGTTCCTTGTTAATGGTAACTGGAGCTTCTTTTTTCTTATTCGTGTCCACCTTTTTGTTTTCCTTTTTCTCCTCAACCTGCAACTTGGTGTCTGGATTCACAGTTACTTTAGCAGCAACAACATTCTCTTCTTCAACTTTCACTTTTTCTTCTACATTTTCAGACTTAACATCCATGTCAACTTTTTTTCATCCTCTCCTTTCTCCTATAAAAAGTACCGTAAAATATGAGACTTCACCAATTTTAAAATCAATTAAATAAAATGCATCAAATTCAGAAAATAAAATTCACTCGCCTCGTTTTTAGGACTTGCATCTGCCATTTCTTCATCATCTTCTTCGGGATCTTCTTCTTTTTCTGATTCGTCTTATGCATATCTGTCGAATTACACATTGCTCAATCAATAAACTTATGAAAGTGTGTTGTGCTTTTCTTTATTTTACATAGATACTAAAACCGGTAATTGGAGGAAATAGTTTTTTTTAGACAGACAAAAAGGTATAATGGTTTGCTTACTGAAAAATATTTAAAACACTTTGGAAAAGGGTAGAAATATAATTTTTTTTACCTAAGATGTATTTCTCGTTGAAAAACCCAGCTCCATGAGGATTATAACCACATGTAATCTTTGTAGGGTTTCTACAGCCACATGTAAACCAAGAAAATTTGTAAGTAACAGAGATGGATATTAAGAATAAATATGAATTATATTTTATTAAGTAATAGAGAGAAGCTAATCTCCCCCTTTCAATTTTAATACTTTTTGTAAATTGTAATAATATTTAACAAGTTAATCATTTATGACATTTAAGAAAATTAGAAATTGCCATAATTATTGGATTAATGTTCCACGAAAAGCTCATAAGCTTTAAGAACTTACTTGGATTAATGTTCCATGAAAAGCTCATAAGCTTTCCAGCATGTTTGTCACGAGAGGCGGTGGCAGTGGCGGCTCAGATGTTTCAATTGTCTGTGCGTGGGAAATCACAAGTGGTGTTAATTGTTCCAAAGTCTCAGTTGTCTTTGTGCTTGTAACAAGAAGTGAGGTTGAATTCTCTAAAGTTTCAGTTGTCTGTATCTCCATTATTGCATACACCTAGAAAAAATGGTCACATTCATCATTGGGGAACATCTTAACAACATATATAGAACATTCATGTACAAAATGGTCAAAATGGAGAGGAGAGGAATTAAGAACAAAAAAGTATTGCAAGTCAACCCAACCGAATCAGTTGATATAAATGTAAAATGACCTACCTACCTCTAAAACTCAAATAAAACAAAAGGGAACTGACTGACTTACCAAGTTCCTTATGGATACATAATTGTGTTGAATGTCATTTCTGATCATACCATTCTCTATAACATTTATTCTTTTAGCAGCTTCTGCTCGTGACTCATTAATTCCATCTTCATAAGGAGCATTCACATTTCCAAACAATGAAAATAGTAACTCACATGCTGTAATATTTCCATCTTCAAAACTGTGAACTTGTATGGTGACATATGTTGGACCATCTGCCTATCCAGTTCTCAGTTGTTTGATTCCATGCATGCTTACATCAGCAAATATGTTATATCTGAGATCCAAAAAAAACATTTGAGAGGCTTGAACTCTTTGTCTAGGAAAGGACTATTAAATAAAAATAAAATTTCGATAAAATTGATGGCTTAGATACAACAAATATACCTTTTGAGATTAAAATGCTGCAAACCCAGGTCTTCATCCCAAAGAAATATATAATCATAAATAGACACTATAGCTGGATGCAGAAATCGTATTGCAAACCACCTGAAATAACTTTGCTATTTAATATATAATTACATACCATAACAACACCCTAATGACCAGATGAGACAGAAAATGAATAATTTGAAACAGAGTCAAATGTAAACTCCTTACCATTTTGTTTGGTTTTGAGCTACAACGTGTATGACATTATTGCTCCACTCAAGATCTTGCCAACCATCCAACATTCCATCATAATGGAACAACACAATTGTAAGCTTTTCTTGAAGAAACTGAAATTATCAATGTTAGGCTCTGCTATTATTCACAAATTATCAATGTTAGGCTCTGCTATTATTCACAAATTAAATATAACATTTATGTATTATATAACTTTTTATTCATCATTGTACCTTTTAAACAATTGTATTCACATTACGCTTCTATTTCAAACCCACTAGAATTGCCAGCAAGTTATGTGTAGTGGAAATATTAGCCTGTAAGCATAAATTTTACTTTATTTTTACACCTAACCACAATGTGCTCATATTTTTTTTACGCAAAACATAAATATACTTAGCTTATTGTCTAACCTATGACTTTGAACTACTTGTTGACCATAAAGGTTTTAATTCCAAGTCTGATTTAGCTTCAATAATACCACGAGGTAAACCCTTCAAGCTTGTGGAAGCTGACATAGTTTCCTAAAACACACACACCAAAAACCACATTAACACAAATCGGAGAACAAATAAACAAAAACCATGCTCATATTTTTAAACAGATTCGGACACCATACTAGTTTTTGGAAGTAATAAAAAAGAAATACTATATATGGAACAGAAGGAAATACTAATCAAGTGCAAAACTCAAGCATCTGTTCTGCTTTCAGCAAATCTCAAGCACCGATCCATTCTATAGAAGGTTCCCAATTGATGACTTTAGCATGAATGCTTCTGAAGGTGATCGGTACCCAGGACTCCCACTCAGATGAAATTGCAGAGAGAGAGAGAGAGAGAGAGAGAGAGAGAGAGAGAAGATTTACCAGATGGGTTGATTTTCATGCTCTAGTTCTTTTCTAAGAATATCAGCAGAATGAAAGAAGATCAACTTCAGTAGATAGCAGAATGAGTGTGGACGGGTCCAATTTATCATCATCAACAAGCTCTAATCTTTATGATAGTATAGAATCTCTAGTCTCTTCTAAAAAAACCCTAAAAAGACAAATCACAATCGATCAAATAATCGGTGATTTTGACCCAGGAGGGTTTTAATATTGATGATACAGAGGTGCAGAAAACAGCTTCAAAGGCGTCTTCATCTTCAGGGTGCAAAGAGAATTTGGACTCGATTTAACTAGGATTTGAGTTACATAAATTAACAGGAGAAGAAAAGGAGATAGACACCACTGATTGTGCTTGGACAGATGATCATTCGGTAGGAGGATGCTCGATGGGGAAGGACCAGTGGCCAACGGCAAAGGTGAAGAACGAGATGTTTGATGAGAACGATAAGAAGGAGATCAGGAGTAGCAGAGAAGCGGATTGGAGAGGAGATTGAGATGATGAAAGATAGAAAAAAGGTAGAAGGCGGGTTTTCAAAATTTTGGGGATTTCGTTTCGCCCTGTGTAAATGCGCGTTTCATTAAAATTATAAAATTATAAAGCGACATCCATAGAGGACGCGCGTTTAAGATAAAGCTCCCTCAGTGTTTTTAATTTTTTTTTTCTTTAGACACTAAGTTAAGGGCACGCAAAAATGTGTGACGTAAATCCTTAAATATTTTAAAGAGATGACACTATTTTAAGGTCACTCTCCTTTGCGTAACATAAATCAGTGAGTGTCGTGGCTTGCGCGTCATTAAAGGCATATATTCTAGTAGTGCAAACTTGTGAAGCAAAATACATGGCAACTGCAACATGCACATGTCAAGCAACATGGTTGAAGAATATTTTGAGTGAATTATATTTCATAGATAAAGATCCCGTTAAAGTATATGTTGATAAAAAGCCAGCTATATTAATTTCAAAGAATCTTATGTCACACCATCGAAGCAAGAATTTCAACATAAAGTACCATTTTATTCGAAAATATGTAGAAGCAAGAATATCAACATAAAGTACCATATTATTCGAAAATATGTTGAAGATAAAGTAGTCGAGTTGGTGAATTGCATCACTAAAATACACCTAACAGATATTTTCATGAAGCCCTTAAGACGGAGAGATTTATGACACATGTTCAGTTTTTGAAGTATATGCATTGAGTAAGGTTTTAGCATTAATTGTAATCCTTAGCCATTAAGTTTACCAAGCTTTTAAGTTTAAACAATTGAAATAGTATATATATATATATATATATATATATATATATATATATATATATATATATATATATATATATATATAGGAGTAGGATCAAATGAGAACACCTAAAAGGTTGAGAACGCGAGAACACATCTGAACCATTTAAAAAACTAAATCTAAGGCTATTATCAAATGGGCCATTTATGTAAATTCTTAAAATTACAGGAATTAAAGTGTAACTTTAAAACTGTTATAAGGGTAAAATGGTAATTGATTGTTTACCTATGTTTAGCAATTCCTACCATCACTCTATCTCTCTCCCTCTCTCTCTCATATCTCTCCCTCTATAGCCCTGCTTCTGCATTTTTCACAACCCTAGGGTCTCCTCTTATTCCAGCCACCGTTGGGCGTGAAGAAGATGAGCGAATGGGTCTTCGGTTTCTTGCATATGTACTCCATTAATTTGGTCAAAATCGAGTGTGAATGAGAGAGAGAGAGAGAGAGAAAGCGCAAGGGGGATTAATGGGTTGTTTTTCTTGTGTTGATTCGAGGGTGGAGGAAAAATCGAATCATCAAAAAGTTGGGGTTGATCGTCCTTAAGTTCACCCATCTGCCCCTTCCAACAATTTCAGCCCTAATTGCTTTTTAGGGGTGGGAGGCTTCGGCCATGTCTATAGAGGACGTCTTCAGGGCAGTGGTCAGGTATAATCATTCTGTTTTTTTGATTCTACAATCTTTATCTATTGTTCCAAAGTATATATAATCTTATAGCTTACAAAATTATATAATCTTTTATAATAGGTTGTAGCTGTGAAACAATTGGATAGAAACGGGCTTCAGGGTAACCGTGAATTTCTTATTGAAGTTCTTATGCTTAACCTTTTACATCATCCCAACTTAGTGAATTTGATTGGGTATTGTTCTGATTGAAGGGACAAAGATAAACGGAAGCAGTCGGCTAACAGGTAACCTTCTTGTTTCATTTTTTTTTTTGTCGACTTGTATCGATAATGAACTGGGATTTTTTCTTTTGATTGTTTTGATTGAAAATTGATGAATGTTTGGGTTGAGGCTGATTTGTTTAAATGGTCCAAACAAGTGGTTGGATCCAATTCTTGGTTGATTAATGGGTGGAAAGAAGCACCATTTGTGCTCTTGCTGTCGAGGGGAGAAGAAAGAGGAAGGCAACTGCATTGTCGGCTACTGTTACAACATTCAATGGGGTGTTTGGTTGATTTGTTTGGAAAAGGAAGGAAGAAGCCAAGGGAAGAGTTAAATGAATTTAGTTTATATTTCGATGTACTTTTATTTGTTCTTGAAGATCAAAGAAAATCTGGCCATATCAATTTTTAGATGTGAAGGACGTGATTTTGATTGTATCAAATTTATTGTGAATTGAAATGGTGCTTGTGTGTAAAATTAGGTGAAGAAATAGTCCAAGCATAAGAAAGAGTGCAATGTTGTGTTAGCCAATTGGTGTGTATATTTAGCGATTTGGTTTGCTGGATGATATATAATTAGATGTATTCATTTATCATCAGATGTATTCATTTTATGAAGGAATATTAATTTTTACACTATTTTTACTTTGTATTTATTTATGAATAGCAACACATTTATTTTTGAATAGTAGTCTATTCATATGTGAATGATTGTATTTATTTCTGAATAACATTACATTCATGTGTGAATAAGTGTATCTATTTATGATTAAAGGTATTCACTTTTTTAAGAAATGATAATTTTTATACTATTTTTATTTTTATATGATGAAAAAAGGCATTGGATTATTTGTAAATTTGATTATTTGAAAATTGAAGTTTATTCATTTGTGATTGGAGTCGTATTAGGTTTTTTGAATAAAATTTTCATTTTTGAATACAAGTGTATTCATTTGGGATTTGAATTCTATTCATTTTTTGAAAAAAAAAATGTGAAATACGAGAAAATTTTGATTTTTTTAAGAATTTTTTTTTTTCAGTTTTTAAAGTAAATTTTGGTAAAAATGTTTTATATATTCTATTAATAAGAAAAATAAAAAATTGAATATAAATTTGTTTTTCGTAACTGATCCTAAATTTAAAGGATGTGATTGAATTTTATTTTATTTTTATTTAATTAAAATATACAATTACTAATATATTCTTATATACTTGTTCTTTTTCTATCTACCATCTTTCTTTATAACCACTAACAACTTAAGTTTCTGCCCATGTATGATGTGTTTCCTATATGACATAGAAAAACATCAACCAACCCAAACAACACATGGGTATTTCACAAGTTTAGTGAATTAGAGGGAAATGTTTTATGGGTTCATTTGTTATGAAATGACAATTCATAGCAATTCAACCTCACACACAACGCAACAACATGGGTATCAGTTTAAGTAGATAACATCCTCCCTTAGATTATGTAAAGGAAGAGAGAAGTCAAAAGAAAATAATGAAGTTTAATGATATCTGCTTATTTGATTAAGCTACCAAGAAAAAAATGTTAAAATAAGTACCATTTTGCACATTTACCCCTCATTCCTCATCATAAGGCCCATTAAACCCGAGCATCACAATTCTCTTGCAATATAAGGACAAATCTAAAATGGCAGCGTACATTTATCTATCATTAAAATTACAATGTATCCAAACTTATATTTTTACACTTGCATCACTTTATCTGACTTAAAGTCATCTCTCAAACGTCACTTATTAATTTTACCCGTATCCAAAAGGTCATAAAGAACAAAAGTCTTCCACTCTAATAAACCAATTGATTATATACAATACTACTTATTTGCAACTGGTAAGCAAAAACAGCCAAAAAAAAAAAAAAAAAGTTGTACATCAACAAAAGAAATCAAGTCTGTCTTAAAAGAAGCATCATCAAAACAGGGTAGAGTCAACCTTTGAGGAGAAGTAAAGAAATTAATGACATACTTTCTTCAAACAAAACTAAAAAGTTACCTTTTTACGATGATGGTCAACACTACTTTTGACCACCGACTGCATCATAATCAAGTTTTTGCAAACAGAAAACGACAGAATCCCATTAATTACTTTTGGCGTCTTGTGTCTTTACGATGGAATCCGAGTCTGAGTCCGAGTCCAATTCCGAGTAACCAAACATCCTGTTAAAGTTAAACTCCTTCTGAATTCACACAACAAAGGAAGCTTTAGTTTATTCCGAACAACAACAACACCACCAGAAACTTAAGGAACAAGAAAAAGTAAGCAAAGCTTCTCAATAAATTTTTTGTGTCTATCAATCTCAGATTCGAATTCAGTCAAAGTGGAGTAATCAAAGTCCATTAAATATTTATCCAACTCTTCCTCCGTAGGAAGATTATCATAATCTTCCTCTTCAGATTCATCTTCCTCTTCATCTTCTTCTGCTTCTTCTTTTTCTTCTTCTTCTTCTTTAGATGTGCCTGTCTTTGACCTAAATGGCTTGTTATTGACTTCCCAACTCCTTTTCTTTAAACCACAATGCCTGTGTTGATGCTTCCGAGTCTTCTTGTAGCCACCCACTGCTTTTCCAATAGGAATCAAACTCTTTCGTTTTCTAGATGTTTTCTTGAGTGCATGTGGCTTCTTCACAGAGTTCGACATTATAGCTTTATGTGACTTCCTCCTTGCTTCAAAGAGTCTCATGTTCTTTTGATCAGTAAAACCATTGGTCTTATCACCACCTAAAACGAACAATCGATGCTTATCATTTTAACATCTCGATAAAGAATGGAAAAAATTAAACATAACATACCATTAAAGTGAGCACTGAAATTTGCATCATGCATTGCCATCTCCCGTACAGTTTGTCTGTAGAATGATTGATGAAGACAATGTGAAAAACGTAGAGTTCAGGTTTTCATGGTGCTACAAATTCCAATTACCAATAAAAATCAAGTAAAACAAATGGCAATCCATTTGTTAAGAAATCGATTTATATTCTACACGCAAAAAAACATAAACCAATTCATGATACAAAGTTACAAACACATAGACCATCTTCAAAACCAAAACGATGAGAGTTACTTTTTTGCTTTAGATTTATTTAATTATTTTAGGTTACGCTTTTCAATCCGCTTACACTAAACTTTAGAAACTTCTCATTACGCTAACATACACCGCAAATGGACATTATTAACCATTGACATAGGATCTAAACCCGGCAAAAAAATAAAAGTAAGCGACATTTAAACGAACAAATCGATTTCTACCATTCTAGTACCAACGATAACTGAAGGTTTCATGGAAGTAGAACACTCACTAACAAGTTTTGCGCTTTTGACTGGAACCTTCACCTTTGCAAACGATTTTTTCATTGTTTTTTGTAAGGGTTAAATGATCCAATGTTTGGGCCAAATTTGAGAAAAGCCCAATATTTATCTTTGTAAGCTTAAAACGTTAAGACGAGACACGTTCAAATCTAGGCCTCTCAATAGTTTCCGGTTTGAGATCCGCTTAAGTTTTTATGTAATTTTTGAGACCGGATTTAATGTGTATGTGTACATATAGGTTAGATAGAAACAATAACTTATCACTATTGTTAGATGTCTACCGATGTTTTATAACTATTGTTATGTCCCTTATACAAGTGGCAGTCGATTTGTTAAGAAAGTGGTTTCTATTTTACAAGCAAAATCATAAAGCCATTAGACAATGTTTATTGGTTTAGGTTGTGGCCAATCGGTTATCACATGTAGGTCATGTTTGGTAGCGAGCATTTTCGAGCTTTTATTTTTTAGCTTTAAAAAAAACTTTGTTTAAACAAATAGTTTCGTTTCAGAGTACGAGCGTTTAACTTTTAGTTTAAACAAAAAATTATTAATTTAAAAGCTACTTCATGTAGCGTTAAAAAAAAACTATTGAACTTTTTTAATCACTTTTCATAATTGTCCTAAAATATATTTATGTATTTAACTTTTTCAAACATTTGTCATTTTATGTAATTTTACAAATTTCAAAACTTTTCAAAATACTTTTGTCAAACACTAATATAACAAATAAAAACTACAACTTTTAGTTATCAGCTACCCGTTGTTGGGGAGTAATATAAGTAGTAGGGTAATGGTGGAGACCCAGATTCCTAATGGATCGTGTAAATTTACTTTCCAAATTGATATTTTCACCATATGTTTGGGATATAGGAAATCTAATATAGGATAATCCAAAGGAACATTTGTGTATTTAGGTATAGAAACACAAACCAAATCACTAGAGATTTATGAGTTTATTCAAGAAAATGAAGAACTGAGACAAGTTTGTATACAACTCGAAATAGGAGTTGTATATATGCACAAAAAATTAAGGTTTTATCTTCTAAATTAGTTAGTGAAATCTCGAAATATGGCTTAATCAATGGTTTCCAAAACTGACAAGATTTGTCAATCTTACCATAATCTCCACTAGAATTTGGTTTTTCCACCGCCAGGGGCTCTACCCCTTGGACCCCGTTAAGGGCGCTGCCTCTAGGACCCTACAAAGGACGTGACCCCCTTGACCCCCGTCCTTATGTCATATTCGATTTTATATATGCATGCACTTCGCATTTACTAAGCATATATTATAGAGTACAAATAATAAGTCCCTTAGCTCACATGTTCAATTAAATTATACAAAATGTTCGGTGACACTAAAATCCCTAATAATCCTCCCCCATTTTAGTTTAACCCATGAACTAACATATAATTATTTAACCTAACCAAAATAGTATATAAATGAAAATGTCGAAATGATTAAATTCCCATTTTAGTATCAAACTATTCAAATACTTGAGAATCTGGGTGTTCTAAGAATTGTACTGTAACACCGGAAATTTAAAGCCAAAATTTTTTTTTTTTTTATAAAAACATAATTCCGTTAATATTCATAAAAACAACCATTTTACTTGTTCCTCATAAAAACAACCATTTTAATAGTTCAACATAACAGTACAAAATCCCAAGATCAACATGTAAAAACTCCAAACGTGTGTGTACGGATCAAGCCGGCGCCTTCCCGCGGTCGTCACTAGCACCTGAAACAAATAACATCAACACTGTAAGCACAAAGCTTAGTGAGTTCCCCAAAATACCACATATAACACATATTTGCCACTCGAGGCTATAACTCTGTGGGTCCGTGCACCCAAACTCCGTGAACCCTCAGGTTCTAGCTCTGAATAACATGCACTACATAAATCACATAGAAATCATGCAGTACAACACATAACATACATAACATACAATTACTCAATCACATAACTCTGGTTACCTACTCAAGGTAAAGTATAGAGAGGAGACTCACCTCGATGTCTCGGTAAATATCTGACTCGGAAGAAGTGTGATCTAGCCTCCGCCTAATCACATAAAACTCTCATAAATACAACTGTACTCAACCCTAAAGGTCAACAAGGTCAACGGTCAAACTTTGACCCGACTCGTCGAGTGCACTAGGGCGACTCGACGAGTCTACACGTGTCCACTGACTTTCTTAGATCCTCTCTTGGCACGTCGAGTACTCCCCTTGATCCGACGAGTTCCACCTAGCATGAATCGTGGGGCCACCCCGACTCAACTCGCCGAGTCTCAGAATAACTCGGCGAGTTCCAACTTGAACTTAGACCCCTGACTCTCCCTGACTCACCGAGTCATTTCCCCCAACTCGGCAAGTCCACTCACTGAGTGATTAACGGGCCACCTTCATACTACTCGCCGAGTCCGTTCTTTGGACTCGGCGAGTTCATGCCATGCACGAACTCAAAACAACTTCTGAGGTCAGATCTGTTCCATACAATCATAGATCTGGCCTCCCCAAGCATGATAATCACGTAAAGTTGGGACCTTGACACACATATAACATCTAAATGGTCCAAAATGGTGCTTTAGCCCCAAAAATGACATTCCAAGCTCAAGACTCCCAAAATGACTCATAAAGCTCCATGGGTTAAGGTCCTTGGACCTCTTTGGGTCCAGATCCAAAACACAACTTGAGAAGGGACCAACTACTCCACTTAATCAACCTCTAAAAGGGTTAGAAAACCCTAACACTAAGAATAAACACCAAAAAGTGAAGAAGGTCCGAGAATAATACCTCAATACAGCCTCTATGAGCTCAAAGACCACAAAAATCGCACCTCCTTCAGCCTCCTCTTGCCTTGAACACTTCCTTCTTGCAACAACACCCACAAAAGTTCAAGATTGGCCTCTCCTTCCTCACAAACGCTCTAGATCTCTTTAGGGTTTCTCTCTGGGGGTTGGGTGAGCACAAAAGTCGGCCATAAGGCCCTTTAAATAGGCCTCAAACCCGGAGATTTAGGGTTTCATTACACAGCGCAGACTCGCCGAGTCCATACCCTGGACTCGCCGAGTCCAAGCGCGCACCAGCGATCAATTCCGCGTCCCTACTCGGCGAGTCTGAGCTCCAACTCGCCGAGTCCCTCTCACATAATAACAAAATTTAAACTTACAAGATACCTGGTAAAATCCGGATGTTACAACTCTCCCCCCCTAGAACTGGACTTCGCCCTCGAAGTCCCACTCTAAAACAGCTCCGGATGCTGCTCCCGCATCATACCCTCCGGCTCCCAGGTCATCTCTGATCCCTTCCGATGTTGCCACTGAACCAACACCAGAGGTACCTCCTTGTTCCTCAAAACCTTGATCTTCCGATCCCTAATAGCCACTGGTCTCTCCGCATAATTCAGGCTCGCATCGACCTGGATATCCTCAAGTGGAACCACTGCCGACTCATCGGCTATACATTTCCTCAACTGCGACACATGAAACGTGTTGTGAATCTGCCCCAACTCTGCTGGCAACTCCAGCCGATAGGCTACCCGGCCTACCCTGGCAATCACACGAAACGGGCCTATAAACCGGGGCCCCAATTTGCCCCTCTTCCTGAACCGGATCACTCCCTTCCAAGGGGAGACCTTCAGGAGAACAAAGTCACCGACCTGAAATTCCAGCTCGGACCGGCGTTTATCCGCGTAACTCTTCTGTCGGCTCTGAGCGGTCAATAACCTCTGCCTGACCAGCTATATCTGCTCTGTCGTCTGATTCACGATCTCTGTACTGCCCATTACTCTTTGCCCAACCTCTCCCCAACAAATGGGAGTCTGACACCTCCTACCATACAGCAGCTCAAAAGGTGGCATACCGATGCTCGAATGATAGCTGTTGTTGTAGGAAAACTCCGCCAGAGGCAAATACGTGTCCCAACTACCCCCAAAGTCCAGAACACAGGCCCGAAGCATGTCCTCGAGTGTCTGTATCGTCCGCTCACTCTGACCGTCGGTCTGGGGGTGGTATGCGGTACTAAAATGCAGCTTAGTACCCAACTCCTCATGAAATTTCTTCCAAAAACGGGAAGTGAACCGCACATCGCGGTCTGAAACAATCGAGATCGGCACCCCATGCCGAGATACAACCTCCCTCACGTAAACCTCTGCCAACTTCTCCGCCGAAGAACTCTCACTGATGGCAAGAAAGTGAGCGCTCTTGGTCAATCTATCCACGATCACCCAGATTGCATCAACTCCTCTGGCAGTCCTCGGCAATTTGGTGATAAAGTCCATAGTGATCTGTTCCCACTTCCACTCGGGAACCTCCAATGGCTGCAACTTGCCATGCGGTCTCTGGTGTTCGGCCTTTACCCTTCGACAGGTCAAACACCTTTCGACAAACCACGCTACATCCCTCTTCATACAGGGCCACCAATACTCCTTCCTTAGGTCCAAATACATCTTCGTGGCCCCGGGGTGGATCGAAAATTTCGATCTATGAGCCTCCTCCATCAATGTAGCACGTGTACCGCCCACAAACGGTACCCAGATCCTGCCCTGATAAGTCATAAGACCTCGACTATCCGATACAAACTCAGAAACCAATCCAACAACCCGCTCTCTCTTCTGCATCTCCGGATGCACGGCCTCGGCCTGAGCCCCACGAATGGCATCCAGAACTGGAGCTATCACGGTCAATCTCATACATACATTCGCAGGGGAGTACTCTCCGCTCTGCGACTCAATGCGTCGGCTACCACATTCGCCTTGCCGGGTGGTACAAGATCTCACAATCATAATCCTTGACCACGTCTAACCATCTCCTCTGCCGCATATTTAGGTTAGGCTGATCCATCAAGTACTTCAAACTCTTATGGTCCGTGTAAATCGTACAACGAACCCCATACAAGTACTGCTGCCAAATCTTGAGGGCGAACACCACTGCCCCCAACTCCAAATCGTGTGTGGGGTACCTCGTCTCGTGAGGCTTCAATTGCCTCG